ATTCTAATTGTCCCCCGAAGAAAAAAGGGGGATATAGTAATAGGCTCCGTCCGTCTGTCCGTCCGAGCAAACATTTTGGGTTTAGGGGCTACATAACAGTAAAGAGAACAAAAGAGAACAATAGGTTCATTTCGTGATCAAAGGTTTTAGGGGCTAGTAGCCCTTAAGAAAACAAAGAAAATAACAAAGAAAATAGCCCCTAAAGCCAAAATGTTGGAACGTCCGTCTGTCCGTCCGTCCGTCACACTTTCGTGTCCGGTCCATAACTTTGTCATTTATCAAAGGAATCTATAATAACTTGGCACAAATGTTTGTTATAATAAGACGATGTGTCATGCACAATCAGACCCCTTCCTCCAAGGTCGAGGTCGCACTTGCTCATTCAAGGTCAACATTGTCTATTTGATGGTTTATGTCGTGTCCGGTCCATAACTTTATCTTTGAAGGGATTTTGTAAATACTTGCCACAATTGTTCAAAAATACTTTCTGGTACACTTTTTGGCCTTAAAATAAACAATATTGCTAGCGCTCTTACACCAGGCATAGATTGTTCTCTATATGTAGACGATTTTCTTATCTGCTATCGATCGAAAAGTATGAGAACAATTGAACGGCAACTTCAACAAAATTTAGATAAAATTCAAAAGTGGGCAATAGAAAATGGTTTTAAATTTTCAAAGTCAAAAACTCAATGTGTTCATTTCTGCCGACTGCGGAAACAACATAATGACCCTGAACTTTACATATCTGGTTCTAAAATTCCAGTAGTTGATGAAGCTAAGTTTTTAAGAATTATATTTGATAAAAAACTTTCTTTCATACCACATATTAAACATTTGAAAACGAAATGCCTAAAAGCTTTAAATTTACTTAAGGTTTTATCAAGTACAAATTGGGGATCAAATTCTTCCACATTACTGAAATTATACAGAAGTCTTATCCGATCAAAATTAGATTACGGTTCTGTAGTATATGGGTCTGCAAGAAAATCATATCTTCAAATGCTAGAAACCATACATCACCAGGGTTTACGTTTAGCTTTAGGTGCTTTTCGCACTTCACCTGTAGAAAGTCTATATGCGGAAGCTGGGGAACCATCGCTTCATCTTCGTCGAAAAAAAGCTATCACTTCAATACGCATCTAGAATTTCATCTAATAGCAAAAATCCAGCTAAAAATATTATTTTCAAACCAAGTTATACTGAAAAATTTGTTAACAAACCAAAGGAAATAAAACCATTAGGCCTTCGTTTAAAAGATGATTTAGATAAACTTAAAATTAATCCAGACAGTATAATTCAAAATGACGATGAGGATGTTCCACCTTGGACTTACAATTCCCCGAAAATAAATATTAACCTTTCAAATATAAAAAAGTCATCAAATTCACCTGAATACTTCAAAGAGAAGTTTCTAGCAATTAAGGAAGAACATGAAGGTTTTATACATATTTATACGGACGGTTCAAAAGAAGGTTGCAAAATAGGTGCGGCTGTGTTTGAAAATAATTTTACATCTAGTATGAGGTTACCAGATAATGCATCAATTTTTACTGCTGAAGCAAAAGCTATCGATTTAGCATTGTCATATATAGCACAGCATACCCACGATAAATTTGTGATATTTTCTGACTCGCTTTCTGTTTTAATATCCATTAAAAATAAAAAATCTGACAATATCATGGTAAAGAAACTTCTTTTACGATTTCATGATATACTAAAAACAAAATATGTTAAATTATATTGGATTCCAAGTCATGTAGGAATACGAGGAAATGAAAAAGTAGATGCTGTAGCTAAACAATCATTAAATTTTCAAAAAACTGACTTATTGTTACCTGCTTGTGATTTTAGACCGGCTATAAATAAACTCGTATCATCTGAATGGAAAGCAAATTGGGACAATGCCGTTTTTAATAAACTTCACGATATAAACCCATCTCTTGATGTGTCACCATCTCTATCTCTGTCAAACCGCCGTGATCAAACAGTTCTTCTTCGATGCCGAATGGGACACACTAAAATTACCCATTCTTATCTCCTTACAAATGACAATGCCCCTTTCTGTGTAGGTTGTAATGAAAATTTTACTGTCAAACATTTTCTTCTTGAATGTCATGATTTTTCACAGACCCGTTATAGATTTTATTCTGTAAATTCACTCAAAGAACTTTTTAATACAATTCCATCAAAAAACATAATTGATTATTTGAAAGAGATAAACTTATATTCTAGGATCTAATTGATTCATTTCTATTGTCAATTACAAAGTTTTACATAACATTTTAAGCCTATTATAGCATTCGGCACGATATGGCCAGTTATGTGTTGACGTGCCGTAAAAATCCAAACAAACAAACAAACAAAAATAATGAGACGATGTGTCATGCGCAACAACCGGTCACCTACCTTCAAGGTCAAGGTCACACTTGGAGGTCAAATGTTAACATAGTCTATTACAGGGTATAGTTTGTGTCCAGTCCTTAACATTTTCATAGATCAAAGGAATCTGAAATAACTTGGCACAAATGTTTGTTATAATAAAATGATGTGTCATGCGCATCAACCAAACCCCTACCTCCAGGGTCAAGGTCGCACTTGCTCATTCAAGGTCAACATTGTCTATTTGATTGTATATGTCGTGTCCGGTCCATTACTTTTTTATCTTTGAAGGAATTTTGTAAATACTTGCCACAATTGTTCTCAATAATGAGACGATGTGTGATGCGCACTAACCGGTCAAGGTCACACTTGGAGGTCAAAGATTAACATAATTAACATAGTCTTTTACAGGGTATATTTTGTGTCCAGTCCATAACTTTTTCATAGATCAAAGGATTTTGTAAGTACTTGTATTTCACAAATAGTCACTAAAATAAGATAATGTGTCATGCGCAACACCTGCATCCCTACCTCCAAGTTCAAGGTCATTCTTAGAGATCAAAAGATAACACAGTCTGTTAAAGGGTATATTTTATGTCTGATCTGGAACTTCTTCATGATTTTGAAATAACTAGGCACAAATAGTCACAATGATAAGATAATATGTCATGCATAACACATGTGTCCCTACCTTCAAAGTCAAGGTCACACATAGAGGTCAAAGATTTACATAGTCTGTTATAGGCTATATTTTGTGTCCAGTCCATAACCTGGGATTTTAAAGATACTTTACACAAATAATCACAATAAAAAGATGATATGTCAGGCGCAAAACATGGGTCCCTACCTCCCAGGTCACACTTAAAGGTCAAAGATTGGCATAGTCTGTTAAAGGATATATTTTGTGTCTGACCAATAACTTCTACGTAGTTAAAGGGATTTTGAAAATACTTGGCACAAATAGTAATAATAATAAGACGACGATATGTCATAAACAACATCTCACCCCTACCTCCAAGGTAAAGGTCACACTTAGAGGTCAAAGGTTAACATGATAGAATTTTAAATTCCGTGTTTCATTTTACTAGTATTTTTTTAATAAATTTTTTGTTGCATTTGCAGATCTAGCATTGATCATAATTTTGGACTGAAAGTCCTGAAATCCATACCTCAATCTTTAAATATAGCACAAATTAATGCTTCATATATAACTTCCCCGAGGCGGGGGACGTTGGTTACTCTGTTACAATTTCTTGTTGTATATAGTGGTAATATGTCAAAAAAGTAATCTTTAGCAAATTTTATGTACAATTATAATCTGAAAGAAATCAATAATTTGTTTTTACAAGAATTTGTAACAGAGTTACCAACGTCCCCCGCCCCGGGAGTTTTATATGAAGCATAAAATTGTGCTATTTCAAAAGATTGAGGTATGGATCTCAGGACATTCAGTCCAAAATTACGATCAATGCTAGATCTGCAAATGTAACAATAAATTTGTTAAAAAAATAAAATGAAACACGGAATTAAAAAATCTATCATGTTAAGCTTTGACCTCTAAGTGTGAACTTGACCTTGGAGGTAGGGGAGCAGGTGTTGTGCATGACATAACGTCTTATTATTGTGACTATTTGTGCCAATATACCGTATTTCAAAATCCCTTGAACTATGAAGAAGTTCTAGATTCAACACAAAATATACCCTATAACAGACTATGTTAATTTTTGACCTCTAAGTGTGACCTTGACCTTGGAGGTAGGGATGCAGGTGTTGCGCATGACACATCCTCTTATTATAGTGACTATTTGTGCGAAGTATTTTCACAATCCTTTGATCTATGAAAAAATTATAGACCTGACACAAAATATACCCTGTAACAGACTATGTAAGTATTTGACCTCCAAGTGTGACCTTGACCTTGGAGGTAGGTGACCGGTTTTTGCGCATGACACATCATCTGATTATTGTTAACAATTATGGCAAGTATTTACAAAAGTCCTTCATAGATAAGAAAGTTATGGACTGGACACGACATATACCCTGTAACAGACTATGTTAATATTTGACCTCCAAGTGTGACCTTGACCTTGAAGGTAGGTGACTGCTTTTTCCGCATGACACATCGTCTGATAATTGTGAACAATTATGGCAAGTATTTACAAAATCCCTTCATAGATAAGAAAGTTATGGACCGGACACGAAATATACCCTGTAACAGACTATGTTAATATTTGACCTCCAAGTGTGACCTTGACCTTGAAGGTAGGTGACTGGTTTTTGCGCATGACACATCGTCTGATTATTGTGAACAATTATGGCAAGTATTTACAAAATCCCTTCATAGATAAGAAAGTTATGGACCGGACACGACATATACCCTCAAATAGGCAATTTTGACCTTGAATGAGCAAGTGTGACCTTGACCCTGGAGGTAGGGGTCTGGTTGTTGCGCATGACACATCGTCTTATTATAATAAACATTTGTGCCAAGTTATTTCAAATTCCTTTCATGAATGACAAAGTTATGGACCGGACACGAAAGTGTGACGGACGGACAGACGGACGGAGCCTATTTCTATATCCCCCTTTTTTCTTCGAAAAGGCGGGGGACAATTATTTCAGATTAAAACTGTATTAATGCAACCAAATGATGGAATGTCAAGGATGAATACATTTATGGGACTGTCTGATGTCTTGGGATCCTCTTTGATGCAACCACCTTCCGATACAGATGACCTTGAGTCTTCATTTCTGAAAACTTCCTTTTCATATTCTGAAGAAAGGGCTAGTAAGCAAGATCTTGGATCGTCACTTATATTGATGTACATACCAGATTCCAATCCAACCTTGATAAATTCTCATTCATATATATTTCCACATTTAGAAGGGACTTCACCGGATAGTCATTTTTCCCAGCAGAACAATGAAGATATTCTTGGATCATCGTTATTATATTCACCAAACAGGAATACACTTCTGGATAATTCTAAACTTGATATCCTTGGATCCTCTCTAGTTCATTCACCAATTAATGGTTCACCCTGTAGTGAAGATCGATCATTTATTAAAGAAGATACCACAGACATTCTTGATGAGACAGACATTTCAGATAACGATTTAAGGCTTGCAGAGTTGATTGAGTCTATAAGAGGCCCTAAGTTTACTAGCACCCCATCTAAAGCACAAAGGGAACTAAAGTTTGATAGAGTGAAAGCCAAGCAGCAGCCTGATAAACCAATCAGTAGTTATATACACAGTAAGTATATTTTATAACAGGGTATTAGCACTAATCTTTTCTGAAATAAAACATTGAAAAGACAATGTCTGAAAACTGCATATTAATTACAGTCAAGATACTAGTATGTTTTTTTCATTTTAATGAAATTTTATTTTCACCAGACATCTACCGGGTATGTTCTTGAAAGATGTGGCACTTATTAAGCTAAAAATGATTAAAAATTTAGTCTTAATATAAGTCATATCAATTTCAAAACGTGTAATATTATCATGCAAATGTATGATGTCATTTCCAAAAGTGGTTTTAATGTTTAAATATTGATATCTGATGATTGTAATTTCAGAGGAAGTAGCCAGTGCAAAAAAGATGAAAAAGAAGGCTTTGAATCCTAAAGATGTACAAACTTCAATGAAAATGGTTTGCTTTTGTGGAGAAAAATGTATGGAGAAATTTTCTCCAAGGACAGTTCGTCAATTAAGAGAAGGGTATTGGTGCCAATCACAAACCGTTAGGCGACAAATGTTGAAAGTTTATTTAAACAAATCTGCTTCTAAAGGAAAATTTAGATTTATTTTCATTAAAGACAATGTACCAGTATGTTTCAAAGCTTTCCTCCAAATGTTACGTATCAATAAAATTCTTTATTACATGCTTTTAAATTAATTGATAAGGACAGTGAGACCTTGTGTACCCCTGGAAGATGTCCAAAAAAAAAAAAGAATGAGAATTCACTGACAGCAATAAACTGGTTGGAAGATTATGCCTCATTCTACGGTGATAGAATGCCAAATATTGGTGATGTTAAACTACCATACAAGGCCAGGAAGCTGTCAGTTTATCAAAGTTATAGGGAAGATGCAGATAATCCTGTCAGCAAGTCACAGTTTTTCAAGATTTGGAAAAATTATTTCCCTCACCTGAAAATTAAACAGGTAAGCTATTATAAACATGATTGAATTGTAATAAAGATCTTTATATATACATGTATAAGGAAAAGTTGGTACTCATCGTTACAACGTATAGATGAGTACCTTTGTACTAGCATTTTTAATATTTAACCGTTTTTTACGGTTATTGTTTGCTAGAAGGATTCGTGCTGTATATAATCTGGGTATTCACCTTTGAAAATCAGTTTCTAACGACCAAGTCTTCCGGACAAACACTTTTAAATTCAATTAAAAAATTCAATATTATATACAAAATATCAAAGACTTGTACCTTCAGACAAAAATATTTTAATTTTTACTACAATGTATATGACATAGTGACAGGGCAGGGGCCAATTTTGACCCCAGGGCTATTATTTGAACAATCTTGCTAGAGGTTCACTACACAATGTTTCATGCAAAATATATAACCTCTAGCTTTTGTCAATTTAGAGGAAATTTTTAAAGTATTTACTATATACATAAAAGGAAAACCTATGACCCCGGGGCGGGGCCAATTTTGACCCCAGGGCTTGAATTTGAACACTTGGTAGAGGTTAACCAGACAATGCCTTATGCAAAATATCTATGCTCTTTGCCTTGTGTGTCTTTACAAGAAGATTTTTTTTATTTATTCTTATAATTCCTTTTGGTTGCCATGGCAACCGGATTTCTGCAAGGAATGAAAATCTTTGAAAAACTTTGGGAGCCCTTCACCCAAGGATCAATCCTGCCAAGTTTGGTTGAAATTGGACTAGTGGTTTTTCACACGAAGATTTTTTAAGTTCACTATATAATCTATAGAACACACAAACACACACACACACTGGTGAATCGCTATATGCCACCGCATAGCAGATGCTGTGGTGGCATAAAAACAGACTTTGATATTTTTATCATCTTATGTTACTGACTACAAAAGTGACACAAACAGAACACAGTACAGTCATCATGTCACATAACATTTACAATTCTTGTAAGTCTTGTTTGTGTTCAATGGAATTACTTTCCCTACCAGGTTTTTAAATTAAATATATGGCCCCTCTTTTTAATTATGGACAGTACATAAGATAATTTTGCAGAAAAAAATGGTTTCTCTATTTTACAAAACATTCGGAAAAAAATCTACAATAGTACTTAATCTGAATAAAACATGACCCATCCAACGTTATGTAGTGCCATCTTTCCTAAAGGAAGTAACACCAATTGATGGATTGGAAGATGGTGATCGAATTGTTGTTGATGGGGAATTGGTTACTGTAGAAGATATGAAGACAGTTGAAGAGATAAAAATGGTTAAATTACAGGGTATGTATTTATGTATAAAATTGTCTAATAATATGATACGATAAAATTCCTAATGCTTCTCTTGTTTTATTAAGAATTAAACTTTGTTTCCACATATTGCATTCTTTATGAAACTATTTGCAAACGTTGGAAAATGGCAAACGATTTATTTAATGTTGTCATGTTACAGTCTGCCTAATTCATAAAAATCTAAAATAATGAAACAAATATGTATTTCATGATCTAATATTTTCCTGATTATTATTATCTTACATAAATGTGTTTTATATATTTTAAATGATTGTGTCTGTCTTTCGCCTAAGTAACTCATTAAAGTAAATGCATTGAAGATATTTTTCCATTCTTTGTTCACCAATGTGCAGAGAATTTGTTAAATAAAAGTTATTTGGTTCAAATAATTTAAAACCCTTACGTGTGCAATGAATAATGAAAAAAATAATTAACTTGATCCAAATGTATCATAGTTATTGTTGAAATGTTGTACCCTTTATATTTCATTCAAAGTATCAACTATTGTTTGAAAAAAGGACAATGTGATCAAACAATGTTTTAACACAACATATTTTGTTGTTATATTTTAGCTCTTTAGGTCCCTAAAAGAAGCCAGTCAAATTAATATCAGCAAATTTGACATAATACTATCTATGAATGCTATAGAAAAAGATGACCATCCATATATAACTTCAGTAGGAGATTTTTTAAGGTTTTTTCTATCTTAAGTTCTAGAGACACCTTCAAGGGGATCGCTAGAGATAATTTATACGAGTGATACATTGAACATTATATTGATACCTGTTTGTTTGTTTCATTTTACGCCTTTTCCCAACAGTATTTCAGTCATATAGGCGGGTAGTTTTACTAGAGTACCTCCTCCGTGCTAAACTACCAAATCATCTCCCGGGGATCGAACCCACGCCAGAGAGGTAACTGGATTAGAATTCATCGACTCTTATCACGGACGGCTGCCACACAGCAGTTATATATACTTAGTAATTCCGGTGCGTCGCCACACAGCAGTTATATATACTTAGTAATTCCGGTGCGTCCGTATTTTTTAATTTGGAAAAGAATTGCGTTGATCAAATTTATTTAGGTTTTTGATATTACTGATGAATTTCCCTTAAACATGTATATTATGGTTGTCTCGTTTAGCACATAAAAAGAAAAACAAAAGACGTAACAAAGTGTATGACTTGTCTCAGATATCTTTGTGTGATGTAAAGAACTTCGTTTCCTAGGAAACAACTTCAAGATAACATTATGTTACAATATGTTTGAATTTCAAAAAATAAATATTGTCAAGCTCCTTTTTGTATAGGTTGCAATGAATATATCATAGTCAAGCATTTTCTCCGTGAATGCTATTATCATGCACAGTTTCGCGATAGATATTACCGAGTTAATTCACTTCAAGAAATTTTTAACTCAGTTTCTTCCAAACATGGATCAAACAATTAACTCATAATATAACCTTATACTAACCAATATTTAAGGTTTATTTTTTCTTTCGTTAACAATTATAGTGTTCAACGTGGTACGGCCAGTTGTGTGTCAATGTGCCGTTAAACCAAAACAAACTAAAGATTTAAAATTTAGCAACGTATGATCGATGGCTATAACGTAAAAAAATAATGACCATCCAGATAATCGGTATGATTTATCATGCATTTATACATCACCATGAACACGTTATGAACTGTTATGCATTGCAATGCTTGGTTTGAGTACCGCTCAAGCCGGTGCTAGGGGGCGTGATTGATGTTTCACATATTCATTATCCCTCGAGTCTTCAATTCTCTTGTAATTTAGTTGCGAGGGATCACTTTGTTTCCAGATTCTTATATAACTCGTGTTTGGTTTGGTTTAACGGCGCACTAACACAGGTCATAACTCGTGTATACACACCCTCACGAAGGCATTATTTGAGGAAATACTTAACCAGACTGACTCATGTACATAAATTATTTGCAAAACATTGAAGCATAAAAAAGTGTCCCCGTAAATTAATAAAATATTTACTTTTGTGTTTTAAACAGCGTCCAGCGCGATTGTTTTGTGCGTTTATGACAATTTGATTATACTTATTCATTGATTTGATCAAGTATGGCTATTTATATGAATGAAGCATTGTATTTTGGTATATTGTTTCCTAAAATATTTCTTAATCAAATATCGTTTAAATGTTACTAAGTGGTTTGCGACATAAATTGCGCGTCAGAGAACGTGATTACTGGGAATTACGCGAAGGGCATCATGGTAATGTATGTGCACTAAAAAAGAAAAAGAGCAATCAGTGATAACATTTGTCGCCGCATTATAGCCATATTGTAGCTTCTGTGTAGACATCGGGCAAAATGCATTTTTGTCCCCCGCCTTTTCGAAATAAAAATTTGGTATAAAGAAATAGGCTCCGTGCGACTATCCGGACAAACTTTCAATGGTCTGTGTGTTTCATTCCGCCCATCATCCCGTTTTTCTAACTTGCCTAAGTTTTATTAGTGTTATTCCTATCATCCCGTTTTTCTAACTTGCCTAAGTTTTATTAGTGTTATTGTCCTTTGTTCATTTATTTTCACTTTGAACCTTGTCTCTATAACCTAAAGAGACAAAAGCATAACACTTGTAGGTAGATAGATCTCATTAAATACAAGTGCAATACATTAGAACCGTAACTCTGCCTTGCCTAAACACATTTTAGCCTATTATAGCATTGGGTATAAAGAAATATGGCCAGTTATATGTTGACGTGCCGTAAAAATCCAAACAAACAAACAAATAAACTTCACGATATAAACCCATCTCTTGATGTGTCACCATCACTTTCTCTGTCAAACCGTCATGATCAAACAGTTATTCTTCGATGCCGAATTGGACACACTAAAATTGCCCACTCTTATCTCCTCACGAATGACAATGCCTCTGTGTAGCTTGTAATGAAAATTTTACTGTCAAGCATTTTCTTCTTGAATATCATGATTTTTCACAGGCCTGTTATAGATTTTATTATGTAAAATATGATAAACAAGATCATCAAGGAAGGGCGGCGTTTAATTCACTCAAAGAACCCTTAAATACAATTCAATCAAAAACATCATTGATTATTTGAAAGAGATAAACTGTCTCGTTAATAGGAATAAGGTGGGGCTAAGAGTGAGGTTTGGTGCACCATTAACCGGTTTAAACTCCCCAGCAGTCATAATTAATGTTGCTGACCGTTCCAAGGCGGCGCCCCTCTGTGTTCCTCAGATGTATGTCTATTTGGTTTCATACTGTTTTGGTGACACTTTTGCTTGTGTCCCTTGTTGTTGTTTCGTCTACGGTAAGTATTTTCCTCTTTGCCCTTATTCTTATTTCTTTAATTTACCCCCCCCCCCCCTTCCCTATGCCTTTGTGTGCCTATTGTTCAGTCGATGTGTTTTCTTTGATTTCCTTGTCAGTTACGAATTATTTCCTATTATTCAATTATTTATATGTTTTCTCAGAATTTCTAATCAGTTACATATTATTTATCATTTTAGTGATTAGCCTGTCCGTGCTCTGCCTAGTGCGCTGCCCTGTTTTTTGTTAGGGGTCTGCCTGGGCTCCTTGCCACTGGTTCTTGTTGCTGGGTCATGTGCGGGTTGCGTTCATTGAACGCCGCCTTTCCTTGTCGATCTTGTTTATCATATTTTGTATTCTAGGATCTTATTGACTCATTGTTACTGTCATTTACAAAGTTAAATCCAAACATACAAACATTTCCTTTTTACTTTTGACTTTGTTCGGCAAATTTCTTTGAAACAACAAGAGGTATCAACAAAATAAATTAAGTCGGTAGATAGATCTCATTTAGTACAAGTGCAGTGCAAAGAACAGTCCCCCTGCCTTACCTAATTTTGAAATGAT